TTGTACTCAGTTCAGACTTAAATGTCACAGGAGTCATATGAGGTCCTGATCCTTAGGAGAAGATTAAGCTTAGCATCACAGATTAGTAGAAGATTAAAAGTCATTTAGGGGCTGACCAGAGGCAGTAATTTCAGCTAGGTTGCATAAGAGACAGGTGTTTGAAGCTTGAAGTCCTCTAGAAATAAATTATAATCAAGAAGGAATATAATGTTCAAATAACACATACTGATAATCACTTCAAATGATGTTACTATGCATTTGTTTGTGAAAGTTTGCCCTTTCTAATATTCAAGGATTTTTCCCTTAAATAATAACATCATTTTAGAAGAATTGTCTACCTTATAGCCAGTTGATACCTCTGTAGTAATTTTTTAAAAAATGAAGGGGTGCTTCTAATGTCCCTCCACAAACTGCAAAATAAAGACTTGTTAATTTAAAGTGCTGCTCTAGCCCTGGCCACATAGCTCAGTTGATTAGAGTGTGGTCCTTACTCAAAGATTTACACGTATGCTTCTGGGTCAGTGCACATACAAGAATCAACCAATGAATGCAAAAGTAAAAGGAACATCAAATCAATGTTTCCCTCCCTTTCTCTAAAAAATAAAATGAAAATATCTTATTTGATTATATCACCTTATAATACAAAGAAAAACTTAAGGAGCCAAAGTCAACAAATATTTTAGGGAAATAGTTGTTGACAATATATGACTAGACCATGGTGCCAGTGATACCCCAAAATATCAGACTCCCTAACCCTGGCAGACTTCTACAGATCACTGCAAAAGGAAACATCCATCATATAAGAGACTTCCTACTTGGCAGAGTTGGGAGAGTTGGGGATAGAATGCAAATTTTCATTAGGGAGGATTTGGGGTAGACTTCAGGAAATCTCTCTCTCTTTTTTTTTTTTTTTTAACTTTTTTAATGAATGTGTTGGTTAATAAATTATATAGGTTTCAGATATACAATTCTATAATATATCATCTGTATATTGTGTGTTCACCACACCAGGTCAAATGTTCTTCCATCATATATTCTCCTATACCCTTTTATATCTCTCACCACCCCCTTTCCCTCTGGCAATCACCATAGTATTATCTGTGTCTATGAGTTATTTTTTCTTCTTCTTCTTCTTAATCTCTTTAACTTTTTCACCCAGCTCTGCAACCTCCATCCCCTCTGAGAGCTGTCAGTCTGTTCTCATCTATGAGTCTCTTTCAGTTTTGTTTGTTAGTTTATTTTGTTCATTAGAGTCCACCTATGTGTGAAATATTATGGTACTTTTCTTTTGTCTGACTGGCTATTTTCACGTAGCATAAAGCTCTCCAGGTTCACCCATGCTATTGTAAAAAGATTCCCTTTTTATAGCTGAGTAATATTTCATTGTGTAATTGTACCACACCTTTTTTATCCACTCATCTACTGATGGGAACTTGGGCTGTTTCTAGATCTTGGCTCTTGTAAGCAATGCTGCAGTGAACGCAGGGGTGTATATATTCTTTTTGATTGCTGTTTCAGGATTTTTAGCATATATTCCCCAAATTGGTAATACTGGGTCAAAAGGCAATTTCATTTTTAATTTTTGGAGGAAACTGTGTACCGTTTTCCATAGTGGATACACCAATCTTCATTTCCACCGACAGTGCATGAGGGTTCCCTTTTTTTCCACACCCTCACCAGCGCTGCTTTTTTGTTGATTTATTGAGAATAGTAATTCTGACAGGTTGAAAGTAATATCTCATGGCTTTAATTTGATTTTCTCTGACGATTAGTAATATTGACTATCATTTCATATATCTACTGGAGTCCTCAGGGGTGGGAGGCAACTCGACAATCAGGGGAAAATGATGCCCCATCACACCTCTGCTGCTGCCACTGCTGGCAGCGCAAGCCTCAGCCGGCCCTGGTTACCTGAGCCTCAGGAGGCCCTGGGAGGCTGGGCAGCCGCTATCCACGGCTTGCCTGAGCCTGGGGCCAACCCTGGGCAGCTGGGGGACTGAGGGGACTTGGGGACTCCAGAGGAAAGCACGCGGAGCAGCTGGGCCTTGCAGTGCCTGCTGCCTCAGCGGGGCTGAGGGGTCTGGGCACTACCATCTTATGGCTATGTGGGCTGCCATCTTTGAGGTTACGGCAATCAATTAGCATATTCCTTCCTTATTGGTTATGGGCACCATCATCTCTGAAGGCATGGCAGTCAATTAGCATATTCCCTCCTTATTGGCTGTGGGCTCTGCTGTCTTTGCAATGGTGTGAGGTTCAATTAACATATTTTCTATATTAGATAGGATTGGAGAACTGTCTATTGCTAATTTTTAAATTGGATTGTTGTTTTTTGGTGTTGAGTTTTATAAATTTTTTCTAATTTTTGCATATTAATCCCATATTTGATGTATCATTGGAAAATATGTTCTGTTCAGTGAATTTTATTTTCATTTTATTGATGATTTCTTTTGCTGTTTAAAACCTTTTTACTTGGATATAGTCCCATTAGTTTATTTTTTTCATTTGTTTCCCTTGCCTGAGGTATTATGTCAGAAAAAGTATTGCTATGAGAACTGTCCAAGGTTTTACTGCGTATGTTTTCAATGGATTAAACATTAGAATCTTCAATCCATTTTGAGTTCATTCTTGTGTATGGTATAAGAAGGTGGTCTAGATTCATTTTTGAACACATCTAATTTTTGCAACGCCATTTATTGAATAGACTATATCCCATTGTATGATTTTGCCTCCTTTGTCAAATATTAATTTACTATAAAGATGAGGATTTATCTTTGGGGCTCTCTGTTCTGTTCCATTGATCTATATGTCTGTTTCTATGACACTACCATGCTGTTTTGATTACTATGGCCTTATAGTATAGTTTGATATCAGGTAGCATGATTCCTCCAACTTTATTCTTTTTTCTCAAGACTGTTATAGCTATTTGGGGTCTTTTGTGGTTCCATATAAATTTGTGGAATATTCTTATTCTGTGAAATATGCCATTGATGTCTTGATAGTAGTGGCGTTGAACCTATAGATTGCTTTGGGTAGTATGGATATTTTAATGATGTTAATTCTATCAATCCATTAGCACAGTATATGCTTCCACTTATTTCTTTCTTCTTCATTTTTTTTTTTTTTTTTTTTTGTCATTGTCTTATAATTTTCCAAGTCCGGGTCTTTTAACATTCTTGGTTAAATATATTTCTAGGTATTTTATATTTTGATGTAATTATAAATGAGATTGTTTTCTTAGTTTTCCCTTTCTGATAGTTTGTTAATGGTCTATAAAAATGCAACTGGTTTCTGGATATTTACTTTTGTATCCTAATACTTTACTGAATTCATTAATTGGTTTATTTTTTTTGGTGGAATCTTTAGTATTCTCTGTATACAGTATCATCTCAACTCCAAATAATCACAGTTTTATTTTTTCTGAACCAATTTGGATGCCTTTTATTTTTTTCTTCTTCTTTCATTGCTGTGCCTAGGACTTATAGTATTATCTACATATATAAAAGACTAATATACTGAGTGTCCTTCCCTACATCCAGGTAATGACATCATGTAGCAATGCCCAGATTCCTCTCCCTAGTGACTAGCGACTACCCTCCTTGCAGTTTCTTCAGCCCAGGAGCATGACTTGCTTTATAGCAGATGGAAACACTATACACTGTAATCAAATGTTTGTAAAGCATTTTCCCATGCCTCATCTCATTTGATCATCACAGAAATCCTGGAGGTGGTAGATAGGAGATGTGGTGGAATCCAATTTTCTTTTCCTTAACCAGAAAAAGCTGAGGCATACAACATGACAGGGAAAGAATTTGGAGTAATAGTCATACGGTTCATAAACCAGATGGATGAGAAAAGCAGCAAATTATGCAAAAATCAGGAAGAAATCAAAAGTGATATGGCTACAATAAAAAATGTCATGGAAGGTTTCAATAGTAGACTAGAAGAAGCACAGAACCAAATCAGTGAGTTAGAAGATAAGGTAGAGAAACAAGTCCAATCTGAACAGCAACTGGAGAAAAAAATTAAAAAGCAAGAGGAGAGCCTAAGGGAGCTTTGGGACAACACAAAACGAAGTAACATATGTATAAAAGGTGTGCCAAAAGGACAAGAAGAGCAGCAAGGTTTAGATAATCTATTTGAAGAAATAATGACAGGAAACTTCATGGAAGAAAAAAGTTGCACAAGTACAGAGAGTCCCAAGCAAAATGAATCCCAAAAGACCCACACCAAGACACGTCATAATTACAATGGCAAATGTTAACGACAAAGAGAGAATCTTAAAGGCTGCAAGAGAGAGAATGTGTGTTACTTACAAAGGATCCCCCATCAGATTATCAAATGATTTCTCAACAGAAACACATCAAGCCAGAAGGGAATGGAATGAAGTATACAAAGTGATGTAAAGCAAAGGTCTGGAGCTAAAAATACTCTAGCAAAACTCAGACAAAAAAGTCTAAGGGAGTTTATCACTACCAAGCCAGTGATGCAAGAAATGCTAAAGGGAATGCTGTAAAAAGAAGAAATAGAAAGGGAGGAAGGAAAACAGGTATCAAGTACAGAAATGGCTACAAACAAGTACCCATCAATAATAACATAAATGGATTAAATGCTCCAATCAAAAAACTTTGGGTGAGTGAATGGATAAGGAAACATGCCCCATACATATGCTGTCTACAGGAGACTTACCTCAGAACATGGGACTCACGCAGACTGGCAGTGAAGGGATTGAAAAATATCTATCAGGCAAATGGAAATGAAGAAAAAAAAAAAAGAGTGTGTAGCAATACTTATATCTGACAAAATAGACCTCAAAGTGAAGACCATAACAGGAGACAAGGAAGGCCACTTCATAATTCTAAAGGGATCAATTAAACAAGAGGATATAACTCTAGTAAATATTTATGTGCCCAATGTAAGCACACAAATACAAAACAAATTCTGGAAGATATCAGGGAAGAGATTAACGGCAACATAATCATAGTAGGAAACTTTAATACCCCATTAACATCACTGGATAAATCCTCTAGACAAAAAATTAGCAAAGAAACTTTAATCCTAAATGACTCACTAGATCAGATGGACTTAATCGATACCTTCAGAACATTATACTCCAAAACTACAGAATATACATTCTTCTCAAGTTCACATGGGGCATTTTCAAAGATAGACCCCATATTGGGACACAGGCAAAGTCTCTCCAAATTCAAGAGGATTGAAATCATATCAAGCATCTTCCCTGATAGAGGCTTTTTCTTCCTTATATCGGAAGATTTCTGTCATTATTTCTTTAAACAGGTTTTCTATTCATTACTCAGTTTCCTCTCCTTCTGGAACCCTTATTATGCGGATGTTGTTTTTGTGTTGTCCCAAAATTCCCTTAGGCTCTCCTCCTGCTTTTTCATTTTCTTTTTTCTAGAAGCTGCTCCACTTGGGTATTTTTCCTACCTTGTCTTCTTGCTCACTAATACGGTCCTCTCCTTCTGGTCTTCACTTGATGCTTTCTATTTAGTTATTTACAGCAGTGATATCATTTTTAATTTCTTCTTAGTTCTTCATTTCCTCTTGGTTCTTACACTTGTCAAAATTTTCTTCCATTCTTTTCATCCACCTTATAACCATTTCTCTGAATTCTTTCTGTGGCAGGTTGCTTGCCTCCATTTTGTTTACTTCCTTTTCTGGTGATGCCTGCTTTTCTTTCATATGCGGGCTGTTTCTCCCCATGAGCTCTCTTCTCTGGTAGTCTGGTTATGTAGTTCTCTCTCTCCTTTCCATGGTGGTATGTAGAGCTCCTCTGAATCCAAGTGCTTGCACCACTTGGGGACCAGTGTGGCGTTCTTGGCTTTGTAGCTGTTCATTTGGGTGCTGTACTTGTAGATTCCTCAGACTTTTCAGGCTTCCGATAACATCCACTTTCCCTTTCAAGGTGGTGTGGTCTCCGTGTCTGAGCCGGTCACTCTGGGAGGGAACCCAAGAAGCAGTGAGGGATGCCCGGTTAGGGGATCCCCATCCAGCAATCTCCCACAGTCTCCTGGTGTATAGCCATCCCTGAACTCACCAACAAACGCTCCCTCTGTGACCACACACTATCCCTTTCTTTTCTCACACACACTATCTTTCAGTCTGCCTTCCTATAGGCAGCCATCTTTTGCATCTATTTCTGGTGGAGTTTTTAGGGTATTCTATGTACAATATCAAGTTATCTGTGAATAGTGACAGTTTTACTTCCTCCTCCTTTCCAATTTGGATGCCTTTTATTTCTTCTTTTCTGATTGCTGTGGCTAGGTCTTCTAGTACTAAGTTGAATAAAAGTGGTGAAGGAGTACAACCCTGTCTTGTTCTTGTTCTTAGGCGAAATGGTTTTAATTTTTGCCCATTAAGTATGATTTTGGCTGTAGGTTTTTTATTTATGCCTGTTATGTTGAGTATGATCCTTCTCTTCACACTTAGCTGAGAGTTTTTATCAGAAGTGGGTGTTTCACTTTGTCAAATGCTTTTCTGCGTCTATTGATAAGTTCATGTGCTTTTTTTCTTTCAGTTTTTTTATGTGATGTTTCACATTTATTGACTTGCCTGTATTGTACCAGCTTTGCATCCCTGGAATAAATTTCCCTTGGTCATGGTGTATGATCTTTTTAAAATTTTTATTTATTTTTAGATAGAGTAGAAGGAAGAGGAATATTTATAAATAAGCATAGATTGGCTGCCTCCTCCATGCCCCATACAAGGGATGGAGTTCGAAACCCAGGCATGTTCCCTGACCAAGAATTGAACTGGCAACCTTTCATTGCCCAGGATGATGCCCAACCAACTGAGCCACAGCCAGGGCATAGTATCTTTTTAATATATTGCTGGATCCAATTTGCTAATATTTTATTGAGTATTTTGACAACTATGTTCACCAAGGATATTGGCCTGTAATTCTCTTTCTTTGTAGTATCTTTATCTGATTTACGAATTAGGATAATGTTGGCCTTGTGGAAAGAGATTGGAAATGTTTCTTCCTCTTGGATTTTTTGGAAAAATTTGAAAAGGATAAGCATTATTTCTTCTTTGAATATTTGTTAAATTCCCCTGTGAGACCATCTGGAGCAGGGCTTTTATTTGCTGAGAGTTTCTTGAGCACTGCTTTATTTTCATCAGTTATTATTGGCCTATTCAGGTTTTCTGATTGTTCCTGATTCAGTATTGAATGGTAGTATTGTTCTAAGAATTTGTCCACTTCGTCCAAATTGTCTAGCTTGTTGGTATTTAGTTGTTCATAGTATTTTTTGTTTTTTACAATCCTCTTTGTTTTTGTGGTGTTAGTTGTTATTTCTCCTCTTTCATTTCTGATTTTATTTATTTGAGCCCTCTCTGTTGGTGAGTCTTGCTAAAGGTTTTTCAGTCTTGTTTATTTTTCAAAGAACCAGCTCTTTGTTTCATTGATCTTTTGTATTGTTTTATTGGTCTCTATGTCATTTATTTTTGCTCTGATGTTTATTTTTCCTTGTTTTTGCTTACTTTGGACTTTTCTTGTTGTTCTTGTTCTAGTTCTTTAAGTTATAGGGTTAATTAGGTTATTAGAAATATATATATTTTTCCTTGAAATAGGCCTGTAGGTCTATTAACTTCCCTCTCAGGAGTGCTTTTGCTTTGTCCCGTAAATTTTGGTCTATGGTGTATTCATTTTAATTTGTTTACAGGAATTTTTTTTCTTTCTTTATCTTGCTGGTAGCCCATTCATTGTTTATTAACATGCTATTTAGCCTCCATGGTTTTGAATTATTTTTACTGTAGTTAATTTCTAATTTTATGCTATTGTGATGCAGGTAGATGCTTGATATGATTTCAGTGTCATTGAACTTGTAGATACTTGTTTTGTGTCCTAATATTTGGTCTTGAGAATTTCCCATATACACTTGAGAGTAAAGTTTATTCTTTGGGGTGACATGTTCTATAAATGTCTATTAAACCCATTTGACCTAGTGTGTCATTTGGGGTCACTGTTTTCCTTATTTTTATTTCTAGTAGATATATGCAGTAATGTCAATGGGGTGTTAAAGTCTCCTACTTTGATTGTATTCCTGTTCATTTCTCCTTTTAGGTCTTCCAGAAGTTTTTAAAAATATATTTGGTTGCTCCTTTGTTGGATTCTTATATGTTTACAAGGGTTATATATTCTTGTTTTATCGATCACTTTAGTATTATGAAGTGTTTTTGTTGTCTCCTGTGATGGCCTTCATTTTGAAGTCTGCTTTTTTTAATATGAGTATTGCTACCCCAGTTTTTTCATTTTCATTTGCATGGAAAATTTTTCCCTTCCCTTCACTTTCATCCTGTGTGAGTAATTTGATCTAGATGGGTTTCTTGTAGACAGTATATACTATTATAGTATATGGGTCATGTTTTTTAATCCATTCAGCTACCCCATTTCTTTCTATTGGAGTATTTAAACCATTTACATTTAAGGTTATTGTTAATAGATACTTAATTGTTGCCATTTTTGTTCTTTATGCCTGTATTCCTACCTTTCTCTCTCTCTCTTTTTCTTGCACCAGTCTCTTTAGTATTTCTTATAGTGATGGTATGAAGGTAATAAACTCCTTTAGCTATTTTGGTGTGCAAAGCTCCTAATTTAATCTTTCTTTTTTAATGATAGTCTTGCTGGATAGAATACTCTTGTGTTCATTCCCTTATTTTTCATTATTTTGTATACTTCATGGCACTCCCTTTTGGCCTGAAGTGTTTCTATTGAGAAATCAGCTGACAGTCTTATGGAAGCTCCTTTGTAGGTAACTTTATTTCTCTCTCATGCAATCTTTAATATTCTTTCTTTGTCTTTAATGTTTGTCATTTTAATTATGATGTGTTTTGGTGTGGCTTTTTTGGGTTCATCTTGATTTGGACTTTCTTTGTTTACTGGACTTGTGTCACTTTTTTCTTTACCAGGTCAGGCAAGTTTTCTGTCATTATTTCTTTTCTTTTTTTCTTTCTTTCTTTTTTTTTTTTTTTTAATATATTTTATTGACTTTTTACAGAGAGGAAGAGAGAGGGATAGAGAGTTAGAAACATCGATGAGAGAGAATCATCGATCAGCTGCCTCCTGCACAGCCCCAACTGGGGATGTGCCTGCAACCAAGGTACATGCCCTTGACCAGAATCGAACCCGGGACCCTTTAGTCCGCAGGCCGACGCTCTATCCACTGAGACAAACTGGTTTTGGCTCTGTCATTATTTCTTCAAACAAGTTCTCTATTTCTTTCTCAGATTTTTTTTCTGCTATTTTATGTATATTGTTATGTTGCATGTTTTCCCAAAGCTCCCTTTAACTCTCCTGATTTTTAATTTTTCCCCCCATTGTTGCTCTGAATGGATGTTTTGTTCTCTCTAGATTATAAACTTTCTATTAGCATATGAAAGCAGTGAATTTGTCAGTGTTTCCTCATTACTGTATCCCCAGCACCTGGAATAATACCTAACCCTAACACATATTCAACTAAAATATATGTAAACAAATGAATTTTTGTCCTAAAATTGCAATCTGACCATTATAATCCAATGATTGGCATGCCTTTAAACTAGCATTTTTCCTTGGGTATAGTTCTGGACTAATCTGCAGCTTGTTAAAAATGCAGATTTCTGGTTTCATTTAAGATCTACTGAATTAATTTCTGGGGTTGGGTCCTAGAAATCTGTATGCTTAATAAGGCCCACCATTGTTGTGAGTTTAAGATATGTTGTGACATGATTTGCCTTTATAGTCATTATCATCTAAACCTTTGAATTAAGAATAATAATAAAATGTAGCTAGCATTGAGTGATTTTTATGCCAGGCAGTGTATTACATCACTTAATCCTTATAACCACCTTACAAAGCAAATGCAGTTTATTTGTATTTTATAGATGACTAGTGACTCAGTGCACGGATTTGTGCACATTGAAAGGAAATTAATTAGAAGGTGGCTAGCAGGGCGGGACTGTGTGAGATGGGCCTGACACACCCTGGAGCCAACCTCCTACAATCCCTCC